AAAAAAAAAAAAAAAAAAAAAATGGACTTGTATATGACCAGAGGCAAGCAATTTGACAACAGAAAGTATGAAAATTTACACGCAGGAAATATTATTAATAAATGCTGATAGCATTTTGTACAATATTTTTGAACATTTTCTTGAAATCACTTCTTATATTTCTATTCTTCTTGTATTTTTATATCAAACATTAATTTCTGAGCCTTTCAAAGGAAAATTCAGAGGAGAAAACTGATTTTTTTCCCACAGACTCCTGAGCATGTCTACATAAATAGTCATTTGCATCTGAAGCCAAAATATGAAATCTGCATATTTTCACTCACTTGTGTTTTTCTTCCTCTATGGCTATTCTTAATTCTTTCTCTATGTCATCTGGCTCTGAGTTGTTTGGATCAGCTAAACCTGAATGAAGAAACAAGTGTTTATTACTATGAATTATATAATATTATTAAATTGTAAAAAGAATATCTCTAATCTGATGAAATAAACATCCTTAAAATATATCCTGATTTAATAGATGTTAAGTGGTACTAATATCTTTGCATCATATTAACTCTTAAATGTTGTGCTTTCAAAAGTGACACTACCATTCAACTTATTTTCTTTTTATTAAAAAATGAAATTACAAAACAACACACTATTACATTATTCTAAGCAAGCATTATTTATAAATTGAAAAGATTGTAACTGCACTGAATATAAAAATGCTACCAAATCGTCTACAGCTTTATGCATATTAATGAGAATTATGACAATATAATATTCTCTGTTATGTCAGCTTTTGTAAAATATCATCATAAGCCATGGTGTTTTGTGCTTTGACCTACAAAAGATCTCACCTTGCATGGCTTGTGTCATTCTGTGGTGCTCTATCTGTGATTTTATGTGATCTGAAAATCAATGAGTACATTATTTTCTAGTAAATTATGAAAAAAAGCCCACGTACTTCCATTATGCAAATCTTGCAAATGTGATGTTTTGAGAACAATTCCTACCTTATTCTATATTGAAAATCATTTTATCACAGTCTAGAAACATTCCAAAACAAATTTCTCAGCAACTATTTATTAAACATATTGGTGAATTTCACAACTGTTACTATAAAAGAAAAAAAGGATATCTGACTCTAAAAAGTAAATCAAGCCAAATAAAATAAATAAATAAATAAATAAATGAATAAATAAATAAATAAATAATATTTCAAAATTAAAGAAAAAGTTAATAATTTAAAATATATGAAGGTGTAATTGAAAATGTAATCAATACTTTATGCTCACTTACTTATTTGTTTTCTAGATTTATTGACCAGTTCTCCCAGACTCTTGGCCTCAGCATATCTTGCCTTCAGCGTACTCTTGTTGTCCTCTATTGTCTGATTGTGCTCGTAATCCCTTCTGTAGATCTCAAATGCTTCTTGTCGGCCCACTGATAAATCTCCCACTAAAAGAAAAAATATATTTCTTAAGGGAAAAATATTTTAATAAACCAATATCCATTTCCAGAATGTCATAATTGCCTTTGTTTAATAGATAAAAGGCACTCATAAAAGAAAAGAAACACCTTTTTCACCATAAAGGAGTCACTGTCTGACATGCAGTTGTCACACATTTGTCTCTAAACAATCTTGGAGAATTATGGTTCATAAATAGATACTATACGAAACACATCTCCAAAGTCTGTACAGTTAAGTTTCCCTTGGTAAGATGATCATGATTTCAACATGGCCAATTGCAATCCGTAAAGCTAAATACAAAGATTGGGCTAAACTTTAAGACCAGTCTCAGTCTACTTTGATCAAAAATAATCAGGAGTCCAGTAAGATGAAACATTGCCTTTAATCTACATCAAGAAAGAAAGACTTATATTTAGATCAGTAGTTACTTTAGTTGAATGAACTGCTACAGATTTATCATGACTTGAAATAGACCAAAATTTTGGTTTAAAAGTTGAGCTCAACTTCCCACTTTCAGTTTCTCAGTGACACCAGCCCCTGAACACAAAACTTGTTACCTCCTCATACCTACTCTGAGAACATGTCTTGCCTACATCTATCACATCAGGGAGTGGCTCAGGAAGAAAATTTAACGATGTGCACAACATCTCAAGTGTGTGACAATGAAAAATGTCTGAATGCCAACAATGTCTACTGGCTGAACCTGCCAGCTAGTGTGTCTGTATTACTCCAAGTGTCAAAGTGGTAGCGACACCATGTGCTATACTGCTACTCCTCTGCCTATGTTCTCCCACTTAATAATCATGTCAATATATGTTATTACTAATTAAAAGGAAAATAAAAATCTGCTTTGGTATATGTACATATAATTGATCCTTCACATCATTATGCAAGACTACATATTATAAAAGAGTGTTTTCGATTAGCGTTTGGTGTCAGGTTTGTGCACCCTGTGTTACAGAGATGACTGTAAACACACCTCTATAATCAGCATGTCCCTGCACTGTAAATAACCTGCTGATGACAGAGGCTACTTCCCAATATTCTGTTAGTGTTAAACTCAGGGTGAGTCTTAGAGGAACTGTTAATGTCATATCAGAATGTTGTGTCAGTTGTTATATATATTGATTACTTTATGTAGGAGCAGTGTAAAATGATGACAATTGCCAAAGAATACATGTGCCTGGTGAATTTAATCAACAATACAGAGTAACTCATTAATCATGAAATATTAAATGGATATGTCTGGCTGAATTAATCAATAGAATTATTGCTATTGAAGTAATCAGTAAGATTATCACTGTTTGCAGAGGAAGCACTCTTCTGGTTCAAGCATGTAGTACATGTAGGTGTTTCAGGTTTGGTTAAAATGAACAAAATCATAGTTAATATATACTGACAGTCAATGAAAATGCATCAGAGAGTCATCCTGTTTGACTGAATAATGGGTCATATTTCACACGAAAACTGTTATTTTCTTAATGTGCAAAAGGAACTTAAAATATTATTTGATTAATAAATGATGCGTTTTCATTGACTGTCAGTATACATAGTCATGTTTATATATACTTACAAATTTTAGCCTTCCGTTTCTCATCTTTTTCATCTAATTGCGGAGGATCTCTCTCCCTCCTTCTGTGTCCACTAGGGGGACGCTTGGAATATTTATCTGGCAGGGCATCATTCTCGGATCCTGGCCTGTGTTTTGCCAGTCTACTTGCGACGCCATTAACAATTCTGTCTCCATCGGGGGCGGTCAAGGCTGTGGCTGGACGGTGACCAAGGCTCTCTAGCTGGGAAATTGCATCTGCTGCACGTTTCTTTTCCTTTTTTAACATGTTTACTAATATATCTGGGTAAAAAGTTAAGGAAGATTCTAAATTTGTCATTTGAGAAGTAGTAGAGGTTTTTGTAATGTTTATGTTAAATGGGTTAGCAATCTTTTAAGAGTACTTAAAAGTACGGAAATGTTGATAAAAAGTAACTAACATGCAAAAATAAGTGACACATGCTTTTCTCTCTCTCTCTCTCCTTTCATGCTCAAAGATACTGATCTCATTATCTCTCTGTTTAATGATGTCATTAAGTTTTTTCAACTGTCTGGAGTCTGCTGGGGCTCTGGACTCTGGTCTGTCAGTTGGTGGGGGAGAGGGGGCAGAAAACTGATCTGCAGGTTCTATTTCCTCTTCTTGTGGACTTCTCTGAGGCTTCTCTGATATAATTTGCTGAAATAAAAATTAAAACATAATTAACATTATCAATACATTTATTTTGTATCAATAAAAAAACTTGTTGTGTCAATATATTAAAGAATTATCCTACTCTGTTTCAGTTTCTGATCCATTAAATAATATGACATAGCAGTTTTCTTTCTTATAATGTTATTCAATTCTTATGATCACTCCAATTCAAAAATCTAATTTTGCTGATGAGTGCCAATTCAACTGCTTCACAACAAAATTACTATAACTCTTGTATGGTGCAGTTTAAATATAAACTTGCTCATTAGTTCCTTGCCACTGTGTAGATATTCTGAGGCTTATTTTACAAAAGAACTTTAAAATGAAAGTTACTTAACTTTTAAGCAAAAATTTACGTCTCCTTTGTATAGATGAGAAGTTATTCAATTAAATGAAATATTAAAACTTGGTTTATTATAAAAATGGCTGCTGTTTAAGACCAATGGTTACCCTATTTTAGTGGACTTTTAGTTCTGAATTGAACAGACTAAAATGTTTGATCTAACAATTAAAAACAAAATTTGGCCTTAAGTTTTAATTTGTGAATAGTCCCTGAAGCATATAAAATGGCAGAGACCTTCATTATTCTGTAGCATCTCTGTATCTTCCTCATGTCTGCCCCAATGTCCAAGATCCCCTCTGGGTCAGTGTCCTGGAGGTAAGACTGGACAGCCTGTTGACACCTAATAATAATAATAATAATAATAATAATAATAATAATAATAATAATAATAATAATAATGATGATGATGATGATGATTTATTGTTTACAATAATTATATAAGGGCATAGAAAAGTAATAATTATTCATCATTTAGTGGTGACTATATTCACATGTAAAAGCTACCAGTCAACCCCTGGTTAAAGTTATCACAGACTGCTCTACCTTTCAAGTTCTTCCTCTGTCAGATCATCTGTCCTAGTCTCGCCTGTAACCATGGCCAACTCCTCCTTTAACTGGCCAATCTCCTTTTTAAGTTTGATTATCATCAGCTTTGGATCTAGCTCCTCATTGAGCAGTGCCTCATTCTTAATCAGTGCCACCCTCTGGGCAAATCGACATGTTGATATGGATTCCTTGGATAAAGACAAAAAAGTATTCATTTTTTTTTTTTTTGCAAGACTTCTTATATAGACATATTATATTATACATTATGGGATTCTACTTGAAAACACTCCTCTTAAAGATCTGCAGATGAAAATAAGGAGAAAATATTTAAAGAAGAAACAAACTGCTATGCCATAATTAAGTTAAAGACAGAGATAAGATGGATTTTAACTACATGTTTGAAAACATATTACAAATCATTTTACTTTCTTGTTTAAATACCTTACCCTAGGCACACATTAAAAATGTTTGTACCAGTAAAAAATAAATGCTCACTGTTTAATATGTGATCCACACTATGTTAAACACTACAGCACCACTTTAAAAAAAAAAAAAGCTAAACACAGACAACAGTGAGGGAAAGTTCTGCAAAACATCTATTTATANTGGACTTGTATATGACCAGAGGCAAGCAATTTGACAACAGAAAGTATGAAAATTTACACACAGGAAATATTATTAATAAATGCTGATAGCATTTTGTACAATATTTTTGAACATTTTCTTGAAATCACTTCCTATATTTCTATTCTTCTTGTATTTTTATATCAAACATTAATTTCTGAGCCTTTCAAAGGAAAATTCAGAGGAGAAAACTGATTTTTTTTTCCCACAGACTCCTGAGCATGTCTACATAAATAGTCATTTGCATCTGAAGTCAAATATGAAATCTGCATATTTTCACTCACTTGTGTTTTTCTTCCTCTATGGCTATTCTTAATTCTTTCTCTATGTCATCTGGCTCTGAGTTGTTTGGATCAGCTAAACCTGAATGAAGAAACAAGTGTTTATTACTATGAATTATATAATATTATTAAATTGTAAAAAGAATATCTCTAATCTGATGAAATAAACATCCTTAAAATATACCCTGATTTAATAGATGTTAAGTGGTACTAATATCTTTGCTTCATGTTAACTCTTAAATGTTGTGCTTTCAAAACTGACACTATAATTCAACTTACTTTCTCTTTATTAAAAAATGAAATTACAAAACAACACACTATTACATTATTCTAAGCAAGCATTATTTATAAATTGAAAAGATTGTAACTGCACTGAATATAAAAATGCTACCAAATCATCTACAGCTTTATGCATATTAATGAGAATTATGACAATATAATATTCTCTGTTTTGTCAGCTTTTGTAAAATATCATCATAAGCCATAGTTTTCTGTGCTTTGACCTACAAAAGATCTCACCTTGCATGGCTTGTGTCATTCTGTGGTGCTCTATCTGTGATTTTATGTGATCTGAAAATCAATGAGTACATTATTTTTTAGTAAATTATGAAAAAAAAAGACCAAGTACTACCATCATGCAAATCTTGCCAATGTGATGTTTTGAGAACAATTCTTATCTTATTGTATATTAAATATCATTTTATCACAGTCTAGAAACATTCCAAATCAAATTTCTCAGCATCTATTTATGAAACATATTTGTGAATTTCACAACTGTGACAATAAAAGTAAAAAAAGGATATCTGACTTTAAAAAGTAAATCAAGCCAAATAAATAAATAAATAAATAAATAAATAAATAATATTGCAAAATTAAAGAAAAAGTTAATTTAAAATATATGAAGGTGTAATTGAAAAATTAATGTAATCAATACTTTATGCTCACTTACTTATTTGTTTTCTAGATTTATTGACCAGTTCTCCCAGACTCTTGGCCTCAGCATATCTTGCCTTCAGCGTACTCTTGTTGTCCTCTATTGTCTGATTGTGCTCATAATCCCTTCTGTAGATCTCAAACGCTTCTTGTCTGCCCACTGATAAATCTCCCACTGAAAGAAAATTTATATTAATTAAGGGAAAAAATCTTAATAAACCAATATCCATTTTCAGTATGTCATAATTGCCTTTGTTTAATAGATAAAAGTCAACCACAGAAGAAAAGAAACACTATTTTCACCGTAAAGGAGTCACTGTCTGACATGCAGTTGTCACACTTTTGTCTCTAAACAATCTTGGAGAATTATGGTTCATAAATAGATACTATACGAAACTCATTTCCAAAGTCTGGACACTTAAGTTTCCCTTGGTAAGATGATCATGATTTCAACATGGCCAATTGCAATCCGTAAAGCTAAATACAAAGATTGGGCTACACTTTAAGACCAGTCTCAGTCTACTTTGATCAAAAATAAGCAGGAGTCCAGTAAGATGAAACATTGCCTTTAATCTATATCAAAAAAGAAAGAAAGGCTTATATTTTAGATCAGTAGTTACTTAAGTTGAATGAACTGCTACAGATTTATCATTACTTGAAATAGACCAAAATTTTGGTTTAAAAGTTGGGCCCAACTTCCCACTTTCAGTCTCTTAGTGACACCAGCCCCTGAAAACAAACTTGTTACCTCCTCATACCTACTCTGAGAACATGTCTTGCCTACATCTATCACATCAGGGAGTGGCTCAGGAAGAAAATTTAATGATGTGCACAACATATCAAGTGTTTGACAATGAAAAATGTCTGAATGCCAACAATGTCTACTGGCTGAACCTGCCAGCTAGTGTGTCTGTATTACTCCAAGTGTCAAAGTGGTATCGACACCATGTGCTATACTGCTACTCCTCTGCCTATGTTCTCCCACTTAATAATCATGTCAATATATGTTATTACTAATTAAAAGGAAAATAAAAATCTGCTTTGGTATATGTACATATAATTGATCCTTCACATCATTATGCAAGACTACATATTATAAAAGAGTGTTTTCGATTAGCGTTTGGTGTCAGGTTTGTGCACCCTGTGTTACAGAGATGACTGTAAACACACCTCTATAATCAGCATGTCCCTGCACTGTAAATAACCTGCTGATGACGGAGGCTACTTCCCAATATTCTGTTAGTGTTAAACTCAGGGTGAGTCTTAGAGGAACTGTTAATGTCATATCAGAATGCTGTGTCAGTTGTTATATATATTGATTACTTTATGTAGGAGCAGTGTAAAGTGATGACAATTGCCAAAGAATACATGTGCCTGGTGAATTTAATCAACAATACAGAGTAACTCATTAATCATGAAATATTAAATGGATATGTCTGGCTGAATTAATCAATAGAATTATTGCTATTGAAGTAATCAGTAAGATTATCACTGTTTGCAGAGGAAGCACTCTTCTGGTTCAAGCATATAGTAGGCGTTTCAGGTTTGGTTAAAATGAACAAAATCATAGTTAATATATACTGACAGTCAATGAAAACGCATCAGAAAACTTTCTTGTACTTTTTTACCGAGAATGGATTCCAACCATATAAGTGAGTACAAATGCACTTGTTTGGTCATAAGAGAGTCATCTTGTTTGACTGAATAATGGGTCATATTTCACACGAAAACTGTTATTTTCTTAATGTGCAAAAGGAACTTAAAATATTATTTGATTAATAAATGATGCGTTTTCATTGACTGTCAGTATACATAGTCATGTTTATATATACTTACAAATTTTAGCCTTCCGTTTCTCATCTTTTTCATCTAATTGCGGAGGATCTCTCTCCCTCCTTCTGTGTCCACTAGGGGGACGCTTGGAATGTTTATCTGGCAGAGCATCATTCTCGGACCCGGGCCTGTGTTTTGCCAGTCTACTTGCGACGCCATTAACAATTCTGTCTCCATCGGGGGCAGTCAAGGCTGTGGCTGGACGGTGACCAAGGCTCTCTAGCTGGGAAATTGCATCTGCTGCACGTTTCTTTTCCTTTTTTAACATGTTTACTAATATATCTGGTCAAAAATTAAGGAAGATTCTAAATTAGTCTTTTGAGAAGTAGTAGAAGTTTTTGTTATGTTTATGTTAAATGGGTAAGCAATCTTTTAAGAGTACTTAAAAGTACGGAAATGTTGATAAAAAGTAACTAACATGCAAAAAGTGACACATGCTTCTCTCTCTCTCTTTTCATGCTCAAAGATACTGATCTCATTATCTCTCTGTTTAATGATGTCATTAAGTTTTTTCAACTGTCTGGAGTCTGCTGGGGCTCTGGACTCTGGTCTTTCAGTTGGTGGGGGAGAGGGGGCAGAAAACTGATCTGCAGGTTCTATTTCCTCTTCTTGTGGACTTCTCTGAGGCTTCTCTGATATAATTTGCTGAAATAAAAATTAAAACATAATTAACATTATCAATACATTTATTTTGTATCAATAAAAAAACTTGTTGTGTCAATATATTAAAGGATTATCCTACTCTGTTTCAGTTTATGATCCATTAAACAATATGACACAGAAGTTTGCTTTCTTATACTGTTATTCAATTCTTACGATCACTCCAATTCAAAAATCCAATTTTGCTAATAAGCGCCAAGTCAACTGCTTCACACTAATATTACTACAACTCTTGAATTGTGTTATGGTGCAGTTTACATATAAACTTGCTCATAAGTTCCTTGCCACTGTGTAGATATTCTGAGGCTTATTTTACAAAAGAACTTTAAAATGAAAGTTACTTATTTTTTAAGCCAAAATTTATGTCTCCTTTGTATAAATCAGAAGTTATTCAATTAAATGAAATATTACGCCTGGTTTATTATAAAAATGGCTGCTGTTTAAGACCAATGGTTACTCTATTTTAGTGGACTTTTAGTTCTGAATTGAATAGAATAAAATATTTGATCTAACAGTTAAAAACAAAATTTGGCCTTAAGTTTTTATTTGTGAATAGTCCCTGAAGCATATCAAATGGCAGAGACCTTCATTATTCTGTAACATCTCTGTATCTTCCTCATGTCTGCCCCAATGTCCAAGATCCCCTCTGGGTCAGTGTCCTGGAGGTAAGACTGGACAGCCTGCTGACACCTAATAATAATAATAATAATAATAATAATAATAATAATAATAATAATAATAATAATAATGATGATGATTTATTGTTTACAATAATTATATAAGGGCATAAAAAGTAATAATTATTCATCATTTAGTGGTGACTATACACACATTTAAAAGCTACTACCGTAGTCAACCCCTGGTTAAAGTTATCACAGACTGCTCTACCTTTCAAGTTCTTCCTCTGTCAGATCATCTGTCCTAGTCTCGCCTGTAACCATGGCCAACTCCTCCTTTAACTGGCCAATCTCCTTTTTAAGTTTGATTATCATCAGCTTTGGATCCAGCTCCTCATTGAGTAGTGCCTCATTCTTAATCAGCGCCACCCTCTGGGCAAACCGACATGTTGATATGGATTCCTTGGATAAAGACAAAAAAGTATTCTTTTTTGTTTTGTTTTGTTTTGTTTTCAAGACTTCTTATATAGACATATTATATTATCATACATTATGGGATTCTACTTGAAAACACTCCTCTTAAAGATCTGCAGATGAAAAGAAGGAGAAAATATTTAAAGAAGCAATAAACTGCTATGCCATAATTAAGTTAAAGACAGAGATAAGATGGATTTTAACTACCTGCTTGAAAACAAATTACACATCATTTTAATTCTTGTTTAAATACCTTACCCTAGGTACACATTAAAAATGTTTGTACCAGTTAAAAAATAAATGCTCATTGTTTTATATCTGATGCACACTATGTTAAAAAATACAGCACCACTTTTAAAAAAACTAAACACAGACAACAGTGAGGGAAAGTTCTGCAAAACATCTATAATTATGTAAAAAGGCTACAATTAATTTAAGGACAGAGACTGTGGCAAGGTGTTTTCAGCAACAATTTTCAATTCTTAGCAAAAAAGATTTAAAGCCTGACACATAAACACAGACAGGCAAATGGAAAATTGATTCTAAAAGCACACAGTTTGATCAAATGGAAATTACATCTATATTTTTCCTTTCTACTGAGCAAGTGGCAATCATGGTGGTCATGCAGTTTCCTCCCAGACTGTCTCGTAGTACTGACGTCAGCATAGAGTTCCTATACGGGATGTGCTGCCTGCTCTTCTCTGACAGAGCCACTATCACCTGGGAACAGCCAAATAATCTCATAAATGTATTTTGATTAGAGATGTGTTCTCAGATCATGTACATCAAACTTAAGTCAAAATATGTTATCAGGAGAGTTTTCTCAGTTAATCTTTATAAATACGTGTTTGAGGATTTCATGATATCTATTTTGGTATATTTTTTTTAATTTGCCAACAAAATACACTGTCTTTCATTCACAAAGACAAACTGACACAAATAATAGCAATGTTGAATAAATAATTATTAAGTGCCACTTTTTTCTGGAAAAATAATCAAAACTATCTTCTGGGCCCACTCTGGCATGTAAACTTTTGACCTATGGAAGTCACACTAATTTAACTCCAGAAAGTGTGAAACAACTTTCACCAAATCAGAATTTCCTTAATTTTGTTGTCATATTTAAAAAAGAACAATGCAATGTTTAGAGCACACATTACAAGATATATTTTTCTGCAAGAAGAAAAAGATTGTTAGCTTTAAGTATGACGCTTTAAAGTTACATTTTTGAATAGTTAATTGGTAATCAACAGCGATAGATTAAATAAACATGTTTTGGGACCTGTCTGGAAACCCTCAAAAACACTTTCCTGCTTCCAGATTATAGATGACATATGAGTTACTCTAAAACTTGCTCAAGGTGATAAAAAAGACAAGCTGATGTTAAAATTATACCTGTTCTAAGTAATAAACAAATTAGTTGATGTTAAAAATATTACCTGTTCTAGGTAATGGAGAGACAAGTTGATATATTTGGCCTCAGTCAATAACAGGCCATTGACACCACTTTTGGAAACCCTCTCAGACCTGAAAAATTCCAGGAACGACATAAAACATGGAACCCTAAATTGGCATGACATCAGCATCTCACATCATTGGATTCGATTTAAGTAACACAGCAATAGTATTTCCATCAAATTAAAATGGGCAATTTATTTCTTTTTTTTTTTTAATATAAGATTCACAGAAGTACTAAATATACATGCATAATAACATAAAAAATCACAGTTCTTTTTGAACTTTTTAAATCACCTTTTACCTTACCTCTTTGGGAGAAAATATGAGCCTGTTATATTAATCGCATTGATCTTAGAGTCTTTAGATGAGACAGAGGTTGTTTAACCTAATTTTAATTCTTTTTACCCCAACCCACAGAAGAAAACATAAGCCTGTGACAGTTGACACCTACCCTGCCAGATCCACCAAATGGAGCTTAGACCTTCTTATGGTAGCTGAGCCAACTTCTCTGGAGGTGATGTGAATGGTGAACACACAGTGGGAACGTGTGGAAGCCTGGTTCATTGGAGTCTGGGGGAATACAAAATAACAGATGGCTAGTGTAATATATATATATATATATATATATATATATATATATATATATATATATATATATATA